AAAAAATGTAGCAAGGCCTAGAAAGTTTAAATATCATGATTGTAAACAGCACGTGGGTTTTGAATAGTTTCTTTTTGTGTGCTGAACAAAGACCAATGAAGACACGCCCATATAACAGTCAAGTGAACCAATCAGACACCGTTGAATTTTTCAGAAATAGAAGAATTCTTCACCATGAAGAATCAATTCTTCGAGAGAAATGGAAGCATTTGATTGGCTGAATAAGTAGGTTATGTTCTAAAAGATACAAATGATCAAGTTAGATATAAATTCAGGTAAAACAATACAAAACTTACTCCTTAGGGAGGCCAACTACGCTAAACTTAACAGCCAAAACACCAGGCAAACCTCATGGCTGCCATAATTAGTATAAACAGAATATCGAACACGATCGAAATAAAATTATGCAATACGAAAACGGCACAAGTAGCATTTTGAATGATTTTCACAGAAATTTCTATTTTTAGTAACCAGGGCAACATCGTACATCGAAATCAAAAACCGATACACAGAATTATGTATACTTGTGTGCCAAGTTATACTGAAATCAAACCAAAACTGTAGGAGGAGTAGCATTTTGAATGTGTTTTTTTTCACACAAAATTTCTAATTTTAGTAGCCACGGCAACACCGTTAATGGCAACCAAAAGCCGATACACAGAATTATGTATCTTAGTGTAGTCTACTTGTGGGCCAAGTTATATTGAAATCAGACCAAAACTGTAGGAGGAGTAGCATTTTGAAAAAAATGTTAACAGACGGACAGACAGAGAGAAGGACGGACGACGGACGCATTACTATTGCATAAGCTCTTCTGGTCTCTGACAAATAGAGCTAAAAAAGAAAAGCTGGATCTGGTGAGTTTAAAGTTTATTTTAGCTTGTTTATTCAGTGACTATAGGATTATCTGTGATCTGTGAACACTATATGAATACTACTCATGGTGTCTTACCGCGACTTGTATAGTAGGTGTTTTACGGGTGTTGCTAAAATGCGGAACGGAAAACGGAACGGAACGGAACGGAAAACGGAATATATTATTTTGGATTAAATCATTTAAAATGCAAAAATTTTATCATAAACGATATATCTTGTACACATTCAATCCCCCACTATTAAATAAAAGTTGAATTTGTCATGCTCAGCTCATTTACGAAAATCGCTAGCATAACACTCACCTAGAATCGAATTTGAAAAGGGGGAGGGGGTAAACAAACTTGAAAAGTATTTGACAAGCAAAAACACAAAAAGAAGACAGTTGTTTGATTCAGGAGGGGCATAAAACACAAAAAGAAAACAATTGTTTGATTCGGGCGGGGGGATAAGTTTCAACTTCAACATCTTTCAGTACTATTTTTTTTACACCAACTTACTAAATTAATTACATTCACAAAAAGTGAGGATGTGATCTTGAATGAACATTTCCGTAGTAAAAAGGTTATGAATGGGGGGGGGGGCAATATTTGATATCTTATTGAACCACGGAAAGAGAAATAAAATGTAAAAGAGATATTAAGATCACGTTTAGTGAAAATCTTAACGGCAAGCTCGAATAAACATCTCTCATACTCACTGGTTGTTAAATTTTATTCAAAATAGAGTCGTTTTCTGGATAGACAAAGTTGGAAATCTTTCATTTGGAAGATATAATGCAGAATCTTTCAATTTAAACTTAAATTTTGTTTGTTTTTTGTTTGAGGTACATATGTTTGTATGTTGTGCGGGGGGGGGGGGGGTTGTTGTTGTTTATGAATGAACCCGTAAAAAATCCCACTCATCAGAAAAGTTCTATAAGCTGTGATAGGTCTGAACCCCCCCCCCCTTTTTTGACTCCAAAATTTACATAAGGTTTAATAAATCAATTTTTAATGTGGCTGTGGGTCCCTACACAGACCCGAAACTGCCACTCCCTCTTTCATCATTCGCGAATTCGACACTGCGTGCATAATCTGAATATCATAACTAGTTATTTTTGTCTTTACAGACATTGACATTGGAAACAAATTAAAAGAGGGGGTGGAGTGGGGGTCAGAAAAAATTACAAACATACAACATTTTTGACTAGCAAAAATGGAGGAAATGTCCTTTGCCCAAACACGAAAATCCACTTGTGTGTGTGTGTTTGCATAGGCCTCGGAACCGGAGGAGGGGGGCGCTACGGGGGGTGTCTTAGCCCCCTCTTTTTTCCAAATATATACTTAGTATAGACATTGAACATTGTTTCGTAGGTTTAGCCCCCCCCCCACTTTCCACAGACACGCTGCAGTATAGGTTAAGAATGGGGAAAGTGGTTGTGTTTGGAAAAAAAAATTGGTATTGAAGTTCGAACTCCCCCCCCCCCCCCCCCCCCCCCCCCCCTACGAAATAGGATTTTCGAGTTCGGAAAATAGACATTTCCTTTTTTTGTTTTGCTTGCCAGGATTTTTTTGAAGGTATATTTTTTTCAATTTTCTTCCGACGCCAATTTTGGGGGGGGGGGGGGGGGGGGGGGGGGGTCGAATTTCAGTACCATTTTGTATGTATGACTCATAAATATATAATAGTTTACAATAAATTTTTATTAGAAGTGACTTTTACAACAAGAATATTGCTCGTTATCTCATTTATATCGAATCTTTGTTATTTGCTTGAGAAATATTTTCCGTTTTCCGTTCCGCGTTTTAGCAACACCCGGTGTTTTACCTTCTGTGTTCTTTCGTCACTGCTAAAAGTCTGAAATCATGACAGATACTACTTCAGTAACTACATCAGTAACAGATACAGCAAACTTAGTCTCGCAAAGTCATTCAGTTATATATGGAGGGATGGAGGCCATGAAGAGTCAAGTGAAATTTCTCTCAGTACTTTGCATACCATTCTTCTAAAAATAGATGCGCGACTAACTAACTTTGAAACAACCAGCTCTACTTTGGAAAAGAGAATGTGTGCCATCGAAAATAAAAAGAGTACGATTAAAAGATTGGAAGAAGCAGTTGTATCATTTGAAAATAAAATTCAAAAGTTTGAATGTGAAATAAAAACGATGAAAGAGACGGTGACAGAGGCGGAGATGAGTGCTAAATCTATTAGTGATATGTTTGGCAGTGTGAAACACACTGCCGAGAAAGAATTGAAACAGTTAAAAGATGCATGATTCAAGGAAAAGGGACGAGGAACTCAACTCTAGTGTTCACTCTTTGAAAAAAGAAAAATGTTGAGCTACAGGAATCGATCATTGATCTCCGTAGCAGATCGATGAGAGATAATTTGGTTTTCTGTGGTATCCCCGAGAGAAAAAACGAAAATTGTGAGGCAGTGCTGCGTAATTTCATAAAACATAAGCTGAAAATTTACGACTACATCTCGTTCGAGAGAGTGCACAGAATGGGAAAATTCGAAGAGTTCAATTCAAAACCCCGAAACATAGTGGTGAAATTCTCGTTCTACCAAGACAGAGAATATGTTGGATCAAAAGCCCCATGGAAATTAAAGGGAACCCATGTATGGGTCAACGAACAGTTTCCCCCGAAGGTTGAGGAGCGGCGTAAAAAACTGTATCCTGTAATCCGTCAGGCCAGAAAAGAACACAGGCGTGTTAAACTCGTAAAAGGCACATTGTATGTTGATGGCGAGCTGCACGTGCCCGAAGATCTTGAATCCGCTCCACGCATGGAAGTGACGGGCTTGCTCGGTCAGGCAGCAACAGTCGGCCAATTTTCACCCCGCACACACACCGTGGACTCACTGCGGAACTTCCACAGGTACTAATCGAGCAAACAGTGACAGTGATACAATCAGATACATGTACAGACACTAGATCACAGGTACACTAAAAATTCCGTTATAATGGTCCAGTTCAGGCACGTAGCATCGATTTTGAAAGTGGAGGGGCAAGCCACAGAAATTTTTTTTTACTTACTAGTACCTGAAAAAGATGACAAGCAAAAAAGAAAAAAAAAGGAAAATTGCCCAAAGTCGAAAATCCTATTTCGTCGTGTGTGTGTGTGTGTGTGTGTGTGGGGGGGGGGGGGGGGGTAGAGGCAAACTTTTTTCGCTACCAATGCTTTTCAATATCCATTTTTTAAGCTTACAATACTATATTTCCTTCATATTAATTTACTTTAGTATAAATTGGGGGGGGGGGGGGGACAACCAGCCTTTCAATGAACATATAAATAGTAAAATTATTGTTGGCAAAAAAGTGGGTGTAATTTCCGAGGGGCTTTTGATCTCACATATTCTCTCTGTTGCTACGTCCCTGCAGTTTCCTCCACATACTAGGACAACGCCGGAAGCCAGACAGAAAACTTTTATCATTAAATGTTTGTGGTGTAATAGAAGACTTCAATATACAGAATTTTATGATCTTATTTCTTCCTATGTAAGAATATAATTGGTTTGACTGAAACTAAAACAGACGACGCTGTTTTGTGAAGTTATGTTCCAAAATGATGTTGATTCTTTGAAAAAATTATGTACATTTATTTCTAAAATTAATAATATTGTCTGTTCTCCTTAGTTATCACCTTCTGCAAGACCCACTGTATTATATATATATGTTTATGCTTCTGTACCTCATGTACCATTTACATGGTTTTGAAAGAATAAATTGAACTGAATTGAATTGAAGGCTTCTCGCTAATGTCCAATAGGCACAAACTTCATCTAAATACTCACCAAACGGTTTTCATAAATGTCTTTGGTATGTTTTGTTTATTCTAGCAAAAGTAAATGAACTGTGAAACACGAAGACAAGTACATTAAGATCTTTATAAACTGAGATTCTTGTATTCAATAAGATATCAATGGCTTTAAATAGCAAAAAGGAGAGTTAATAAATGTGTTAATCCTCTTATATACTACATACAGTGATCAGTGCAGACTTGTTCTTTTTTTCAGTGTTTAAACCCTAAATAGTACTATGTTTAACGGAATTGTAATGTACAAGTCGGACACATCTATGTAGGAATTGCATATTTTTGGAGCAGAGTGCGTGTAAATCAAGAGTATCTGTCTACCCCTCATCATGCAGCAGGATATCATCATCACCCTTTCTGTGTGTGCAGTTATTATCACCGCTGTTTTCTTCGAGTACCGTATGCAACAACTAGAAGAAAAGTGTAAAGATATAGAAACAATATTTAAGTCAAACAAACGCGACAATACAGTCAACAGTGAACACACTGACGACGAAAAGACTGGGAGTATAGAGGCAACTATCAAACGACATAATGCTGGGGATTTAATGGAAGACGGTAGGTCAACAGTACTCATGGGGCAACATTCAGTTTTATGCCCCCTCCCTTAATGGGCTTGGAAAAAAAAACAATTTGGTGTTAACCCGTCGGTCGGTCGTTAGATCAAAACGAATTCTTGGTAAAAGGTGTTCTGTCACACAAGGGATTGTTTCCTACACATTTTTGTTTTATCTATAACCTGGGACTCTTTCAAGTTATACTATTATTTTACGTTTGGATCTTAATACATGTATATCGATGCTTTTGTTTTATTTCATAAGTTATTTTTCAGAAATAAAGGAATTGTCTGCCCAGAGAGCTGTAGCTTTTTCAGTCGCATTGGGGGCTCCTATGGAAGACAACGAAACTGTGTCGGAAGTCGTTATTTACAATATCGTTGAAATCAACATTGGTGAAGGGTATGACCCCACTACTGGAATATTTGTGGCACCCGAACCTGGCGTGTACGCTTTCAGTTGGACAAGTGTAACTATTCCGGGAAAATGGTACGAAACCGAGATGAATATTAATGGTCTTCAGAAGAGACTCAATAGTTGTAATAACAAAGGAGAGACGGCATCATCCAATCTTTCTTGCACCTCCTTGGTTATTTCCGAGGTGAAGAAAGGAGATTTAGTTTGGGTTGCTAAGTTTGGACAAGAGGGAGATTATTTAATGGAAATGTATTCGTCCTTTTCAGGTTGGAAAATTGGAGAAATTTCAAAAAGTGACAGTGGCATTGACTCTAGCTGATAATTTTTTTATACTTAGTATGTAAATAATGATTTAACAATTAAAAAAATTAAAGCATGAACATTCACTTACTTGACTTGCATGTATACCTTACATGTTAAACATCATCAACCATTTAATAATATAGTGCAAGAATGGATCCAAATTATCTAAAGCTTATAGTTTTGTTATCTCTAAAGATATGTGCATTTAGCAGTTCAGTTCTTTTACCACACAAGAAAAATAGTATGCAGGCCTTCTCATCCCATCAGTCTAGTTAACTGCATAAAACTTCCATGTTCATTAACTTCCAGCGTCACAATAAGCAGTTTTATCATATGAGATTATTATTAAGAATACATATAGTTATACAGATCAAAATACCCCGGTATCTGGTTTTATGTATAGTAGTAAAAAGATACGTTAACAGTTCTTGATAGAGTACTTTGCCTAGAGGTGAGCTGTGTAGGGCTGTGTGTCATTTGTTTGATATAGCATTAAATGGATATCGGCTTAAGGTTGAGTTGTACATATGTAAGGGTCAGTGCATGAAAATAACTAAAGGGAATTTAATTTTGTTCTTTAATGAATAAAGATGTATGATGCTTTAACTTGCTTTAATTTTCTTCCATAATTTTAATCAAAAACGCATGTAACTTTTTTTGGCAAGTTTTTAAATTTAAATGTTTTGCGGAAAAAGAATGTTTATCTTCCGATCAATTGATTTTACATACTCCATGACCCAGGCCGGCAAACGTCTCATTATGTGGATCTATATTTGATTTCAAATATAAATATCAATATTGTGAAATCTGCCTTTGAGACGTACGAGGACTAGGAAGGTTTATACTTGCCAGGCAAATTAACACAAAACCGCTGTTTTGACAGGTGAACTTTGGATCATTCCAGGAATCCAGTCTTTTACATGCCGATAATTGAGTAAGTATATACTGTACAGTGTTAATTTATCAAGATCTATTTTATATACACGCCCTATTTACAAGTAAATTAAAGGCGGAGTAAGTGGTCACGCGATTCGTACATTACATGTGTTGTCCAGAAGGTCTCTCTCTGTATGGGAAATCGCTGGCTATACTCAAAGTTCATTCTTCTTTATGGGTCGATAGGTGAAACTTGATTTTTCTTAACCTGTAGTTGAAGGTCATTTTGCATAATAAAATTCAAATCTGTTCGCAATTAGCCTACCTTTATGATTTAAAATTAATATTTTATTACGCATTAGAGTTTTATTACACATAAGCTTTAGCATAATTGTATTTATTTCGTTATTTTTGTAGGAAGTAGAAAATACTTAAATTGTTCTTGCATATGTACATGACAAGCATGTTCTCACAGTATATTTCTCACAGAATCATCCTCTCGCAGGAACATCAATGGTAACTGCAATGTCTCCAAACGCGAGAAAAATTCTCAAGAGGGATATAAAAAATATACAGTTACGTATACCAACTTATTAGTGTAAAATATGGTTTAAAATAAAATTTATTGCAGCACTAATAATTTCATTAATTCATTCATTCGGAGAAGGGGGCGACCGTGTCTATTTTTAACGAAAATCTAAGAGCATATATCAATCTTGGTGGTGGTGGTGGGGGGGGGATCGACGTGTTTATCAAATTATTTTAATTACTCTGCATCAAAGATGTACAGACCGACTGAAAATACGCACAATGATATAATGTCATCATATGACAATACACAAATACAAAGTAGAACTTACTGAAGAGATTCTATCAACGCGACCCGACTTCTCTAAGTTGATTGAGCGGAAGTGAGTATTGACAAGTCGTACATAAATTTTCAGGGTTCGAAGGTTGTAAAACGCGATATTTTAAGAAATATTTCACCGATTAACTTGAAAGTGAATAGAGTTTGTCCTTTTACAATTCATACATTCTACCACATACATGTACATGTAAGTATGTGCAAGCTGAGAACTGATAGTGCAAAGGTTCTCTTTCAATCTTGCCCATAAGCTGTAACGGACGCACAAACACAAGTGCATGTACATACGCACAACAGCGATGCTTTATCTTCTCAGCAACTAGTGGGGATAATGTACTGTAATGCAATGTAATAAAGAAAATTCAATATCCGCGTATGTGTTTTAATTTTACCACATGTACGTGTTTACATGGCTAAAATATGTCGGATGTTAATTTTTTGTTCCTAGTCATAAGGTATGAATTTTACATTAAGAGTAAACTATACTGGGTACAAATCTCCCTCTTCCCGCCCCAAAATACACCCGTCTACATTTGCGAATGTATTGTTTGAATACTGTTCCACCGTGTATAGGGGCACATGTGGGGTTTCGGTTAAGTAACATATGGGGTTTCAACTCCGAAGCGGTGAATTTTTGCATTTGGAAAATATATTTGTAAAAATCAGTAGCTAATGAAGTCTTCAGGGACAAATGACATGCGCACGGGTTGTAAGAATGTATTACCTTCCAATTTAGTGCAATAGGTTGGTTGAAAGCGTTGCGGATTCTGCAAACACTTCTGGACAGTCCAGTCGACTGGGAAAAGTTGTGGTGTCGCTGACTTTCTTTGCTCTATAATTTTCAAAAGCGGGCCTTTAAAGCTTATTTTAAGGATGATAGATAAAGATTGATATAAAAACAATCCATGGAAACTTTTTTCACTTGTCGCAGTCTCTTTTTCTGTAAGAAATATAAACTTTTGTGTCCAAATTCTAATGTGCCTAACGGGGTTTCGAGGTTTGTTAACATAGGGGGTTTCAACTCAAAAGTTTTTTTTCTGTGTTTAAATCTTTGCTTTCTTTCAAGAATATGGATTCCGTCCATTTAACACGAAATAAAAATGAATATATGTTAGGCCAAAAGTTTGGTTGTCACCTATGTGTAAAGATTAACAGATGTGCAAGCTCACTCAAGAGACAGGTTGCGTCTCATACACAAAGTAAAACATAACCCCCCAACTCTTCTTCACAAAATATTAAAAAAATCTTTTTGTTTGAGCAGTTTTTTGGTAGGAATTTTTCTCTGACCCCTTTTAAAAATTAAAAAAGGATGCTATATGTCCCTGTATTCAATTGCCATAGAAAAATGCTTTGTTCCTCTTGACCAGATTCAAAATTAAACCTCCCTCCGACATTTTCCTAAAGGAAACCCAATTAATTCCGTGTTTATGAGACGCAATGTGCCTCTCTATCTGTGAAACTGATTTATTTGATTAAACGCCTTTTTTATTTTTTACATAAACGTACATTTATGAAATTCAATAGCGTTGTACATACAGTTACATTGTATACAAATATACATGGAAAACAATAATTAAAAATATAAAAGTTCCTGAAGATGTGTTTTTTAAAGTTGATGTTTTTGAAAACATCAATCATAGATTTTGATTGATTAATATGCAAAGGAATAGTTTGTTCCATAATTTTAGATACATGTAAAATGTTACTAAAATTCCGCAGAACTTTTATCTTACATTCAATAGGACTGTATAACAGCCTTCGGAATTTCGGGAAAAACGCAATCGTTTATTTGAATTCTATTTTGACAGAAGTTCAATTAAATGTTTCGCCCACTGAACAGTTACATGTATACATAAATGTCAAAATTTTAAATGACATCCTAGATAGATTTGATGGGTATCCGATAGAGCTTAAAGTGAGTATTCATGTTTGTATATTTTTACATTCAAATTATTTCTTTTCTTTTTGAAATCCATTGGAATTTTTTTTATAATTCCATTCTATATCCTATCAAACACACCAATTCTTATTACTGCGCAGTAGAATGCATAGTAGAAAATGTATGCATTTTCAATACTCTTGAAATGCTAAAATGTGTATTATTTTAACTCATATTAATTAAAATAAATGGAATAATTTATCAGCAAAATTTGTAACCCCCCCCCAACCCGCATTTAACATTCAATGTCACAGGCGGCTTTTAAAAGTACGTCAGGTCTGACATGCGCTAAATCCAGTAGAAAGTACATGTATAATGAAATTTTCAATTACTAGAGAATTTAAATGTAAGCATTGGATTCTTATTTTTGGGTTTTTGGCACCCTTATAGGACCGATGATATAAAAAAAATAAGAATTTGAGTTGCTAAAAAATCTTTGCACACCGGTGAAAAACAAACCTTTTACCTTCAATATGGCCATTCACTTTTGCTTCGTGATGAATGAACAAGGAATCCAGATCCAAAGAATTAAACACAGAAAAAAACCTTTGAGTTGAAACCCCCTATGTTAAAAAGCCTCGAAACCCCGTTAGGCACATTAGAATTTGGACACAAAAGTTTATATTTCTTACAGAAAAAGAGACTGCGAAAGGTGAAAAAAGTTTCCATGGATTGTTTTTATATCAATCTTTATCTATCATCCTTAAAATGAGCTTTAAAGGCCTGCTTTCGAAAATTATAGAGCAAAGAAAGTCAGCGACACCACAACTTTTCCCAGTCGACTGGACTGTCCAGAAGTGTTTGCAGAATCCGTAACGCTTTCAACCAACCTATTGCACTAAATTGGATGGTAATGCATTCTTACAACCCGTGCGCATGTCATTTTTCCCTGAAGACTTCTTTAGCTACTGATTTTTACAAATATATTTTCCAAATGCAAAAAATCACCGCTTCGGAGTTGAAACCCCATATGTTACTTAACCGAAACCCCACATGTGCCCCTATACACGGTGTGTTCGTTATCTCCATATAATTTCATGGTTATGTTGTTCTGTGTATATCACAGCATGCAGGGCCATCTTGCCCTCTCCCGACAAACTGGCTAAAAATTTCGACTCAAAAATTTTTTTTTAATCACCAGGAAGTATCTTTTTCGCACTCTGGCAAATATAAAAAATAACATTGATATTTGAATTTTCCGCGAAAAATAATTTTCTCGCCTATATACCGACCCAGTATTTTCAGACCGAATCGGGAGAGGGAAGCAAACATTTTTCTGAAGTTCGCTCAACGTTCAAAATAATCGTGTAATACATGAACGCTATTGTTTTCATGTAAAACATTAATACATGTATATACACCAATCATTTTTAAAATAAAAAAGGAAAATAAATTGTAGAATGCATGTCCAGACCAAACATATAAGAGTTTGTGTCATGCAAAAATAATTTCTAAAATATGTTTTTCTTTAACGATGGAGAAAAACTTATTCACATACTGAAATTAAACTTTTAAGAAATGATTTTTTTTTATTTTAAAAGTACATGACGATTAGAACTAAAAATCTGATCCGTTTGATGAAGTGAATTTTGTCAATTGAAAATTTATTCTGATAAATTGCCAAAGGTCATTCAGGGGACATAAATACCTTGAATTGACTTCAATTAAATCAAGTTTTCCCGTATATGCATTTAAATTTTAATTTATACTTTAATTTGATATGCTTAGTCTTATAGGTAAACAATTTTAATCTAGTTTTTAATTTGAATTTAAAATAAAATCTGTATATTTTAACATATCTAATAACTAAACCTTGCTTAAGCCAATTAAAAAAGAAAAACAAGATGGAAAACCCTGCTTCCATTTTCAAAAGAGGTGTTTTGGTGACAGTGATGAAGTAGTATCTTGCAGCTGAAGAATATTAAATCATTTTTTCCTACTCATTTAACTTGAAAGTGTCTTCACCTCCTAATCAAGTTTTGAGAAAAATATTGATTTAATAAATTGAAAGATTACCATTTTTGTCAGTCTATCTGTTTAAAGGTGTTTGTACATTCTTGGGGATAATGATCACGTGAATTCGTTATTTAATCTATCTAAAAGGCGATCGCGCGGAAAAATAATTACTAGACTGTTGACAGTAATCCGCCTGTAAAAGAGTTCGATGGCGACTGGTCATTAGAGTAGTAATATTTCTCATTAATTCAGAGCCATAAGACAAGGGAATCGTGAACCTTTCATTAGGGGAAGCCCG